TGATAAGTAAACGGACGGTTACATGTCAAAGCCATTCAACGCGTAAGAAAATAAATAAAAATCGAGCGTCAATGAAAAAACGTCAATCCTTTTAATTACCAGTAATCTAATTTGGGAACAGATGAGTTGGTCGAATTTAATTAGACAGGGAGATTAAGGAAGCAATGGTTATGAATCAGCCGGGAATTATTCGGCTACCGGCTAAGATACGCAATGCAAACGGCAAATCAAATATGCACTCGACATATCACATGAAAGAGGCACAGGTATGAACGACAGCTATTTAAACTTAGGAAAAAGAAATATAATTGAAACGAATAGCTAAGATTCCATTTATACTTATGACCCTTATTACCGGAGAAATTAAAGCGGCCAAGTTTATAGTTACAAACTCGGCTCGTTATGTGATACAAACGCATTCAGTGGCATGAGATTACTTTGTTAACGACAAAAACGATCATCTGCGCGTAAATCAGATTCATCAACGACTTTTGCATTTTAATCAGCGTGCAAGAACTTTCTTGGGCGTCATTCGACAAACAAAAGAGAAAAATATGCTTTCATTTTTTTTTTCAAGTCTTTAACACCATCTTGTAAGTCAACAGAGACAACACAAAAACCTTGAAGTGTAAAGCAGGGCCCGCGGAGCGGATTTTCAAGTGGGGGGTTAATGCAAACGCGTGAGCGTGAGCCAACTAGGGGGGTCCGGTGGCATGCTCCCTCGGGAAAATTTGAAGTTAAAGTCTTCTGAAATGGCTAGAAATGGATCTACAACTGATAAAAGTGAAGTTAATTTTTAAATCTTATAAAACAACGAGTAACAAACTGGCCTTCACGTTTTACCAAATTAAAATGAATAGACTAGCTTATAAGTAAAAAAAAAATAGTGATTAATCATCCAAAAAATTGGGTGGGCTTTCTAGCCCCCCCAACCCCACTCCCTGTGCGGTCCCTGTATAGAGCATTTAACAACATTTTTATCACAGAAAAGGTGCCTAAGCTAAGAATGTTAAAATATTTATTTAAAACTACTAGTTACATATCCTGGACGCGGCTTTGTGCAATCGAAATGGATGCTATCAGGTGTAGAACATACATGACGTAGACGTTCAAATATTTAGTTTTGACGCGACGACGCAAAGCAGTAACTTGGCAGTCTTTCAAAACCAATGAAATCAATGCTACTTTTATTTTCAACTAGGCATGAAATGGAGCAAAAATAAAATAAAACTGAGAAATAACAGCAAAATTGTTTGGTCAAAGTAAAGGCTTTAAGGTAGAAAATGTAGCCGTTGCTTCGTGTAAATGAAAGCCGTGTAGAGTAAATGCAAAAACCACTTTTGTTGGCTTCCAATAAACGGGTGAACCAAATATATTTTTTTACGTTGTTGTTGTAGATAACTGCGTTTTGGTATGTAGATTCGTTGGCATGTAGGTTACGTAATCATGGTACCAAAATGAATATTTAAAGTTTACGGTTAAGTGTTGTTATTCGACGGCAGCTCGATTTTTAATGACAAAGATCTCGAGACTTTAATTTACTTCAGTAAATTTTTGTGATATGTCTGATTCGTGTTTATGAATATATTCGTTGTGTGATGTGATGTGATGTGATGTGATGAGCTTNTGGTGTACTTGTAGAAAACTGAACAAATGCTTTTTAAGACCAGCTTATTGCTCTTGAAGTGGCTTTTTTGAATAAGGAACCTAAGAAAACAAAAGGGAGACACTTATAGCCAAGTGGAGACCACAAATACCTGTAAGTCAGTTACGCCCCAATATATACGTTGCAGAGAGCTGCAGGTAGCTTGGAATCATCTAATTCAGCTGGAATGCAATGCTGTAAAACTGTTAAAGTTATTTGCGACACATCATGGACCCAAAGTACTAGGCTTTTCCATGTTGGAATACAGGTATATAAACAGTATTTATCTGTCTACAGGACTTAAACAGCAGGAAATACAGAGATAGGTCGGACCATCACAGCCACAACAAGTTAAGAGAGAAAATAAGGCTCTAACTGCAATACCTTGATGATCTGCACTGTCGCTTCCTGGTTCTCTCCGTGTTGTATTTTGCATAACAATAGCAGCTAGAGGTGAAATTAGACTTAAGTCAATGAGGAAAAAAAATGCCAAGGGAACTTGAGAGAAAGAGAAGGGAAAAAAGGATCAATTCTATAAGCTCAAAATTGTAAGCCCGTGAGTTCGCAGATAACATATATCTTATTAACAAATCGTGAGCAATTCCATAGCAATGAAAATTTAAAAATGGAAAAACCGCTATCTCTGAACTACAACGGGTGGAAAGCTAGTATCTTGTGCAAGAGGTATATACGACAAATCTGCTTGTCTAACAACGAGTGAGTGAGATTGATACTTCCTATTCTGTTGTCCGCAAACGCAATTAAGCATCCTTTTAGAAACGCTCGCAAATTATGACAGACCCTATGTGGCTAACAACGATCGAAAAACAAAACTAGTCAAAAAAGTGTCAGGTGTAAAAAGTAATTTAGATGGAAACGTTCAAATATTTGGTTTTACCATAAGTAAATTTGTCGCTTCCAAGACTAATTGTGGTAGCTTACTTGTCTATGTTACATGCAAATAAGCTTTGTCGCTTCATTCCGATGTCATTAGCTTAAATATAAAAGAATTCAAGTACATAACCAACCAAAGGGCTATCTTTGTTTGCTTTGAGTAATCTTTTTTTCCAAACCTTATTTTTTTAATCTTTGCACGCTTTGATCAATATGGTAAAGGGTAGAAGGAGCTGGATTTATTGGTTTTTTCTTTTCTTTTTTTCTTTTTTTTTTTTGTTGTTGCTACTTCCGCATGTGTCATCGAAATAAGTGAGTAGGTGAGTGAATGATGGCAAGAATAGATTTCCGATCGTGACCCAATTTTTGACTCGGAACATCACCTGAGCACAAGTATACAATGAGGTTATACTTAAGGGCGTGAGATAAAAATCAATTAAACTTCTGACATCTTTTCAATGTGCCTGTTTATTTTTTGCACGCACTAGGTTCAAGTCTATTAGGAACAAGTCTCGTACATTCAAATATAAAACATTCTACACTCACTTCTTTATTCTCAAGTATACTTAATCCAGTTTTTTAAAAGAACACTTTTAATTTCATCATCATTAAGTTTAGATATGTTTTACAAGATGCCATTTGATTGCTTTAAAGTTCACCTGAATATAACAAAAGAACTCAAGTTTTCTTCAACTGAATTGAAATGGAAAGTAAACACATCTAAGATTACAAAATATTCCGATGAATGTCACAAACAGGGGATGTGAAGGACTTATGTTGTAGTTATAAACTTCAGTTTGATCATAATTTAAGGCGTACGACGTCAGCAACAAGGCTGGACTGTAGTCTCTTGATTGTTTAACAAATTCTCCTTGTCAGCACCTTAGGAAATGTATAGAGAACAGTATGGAGAATATGCAAACTGATGTTAAAGTGTAAAGGGTTAAGGAGAAAAAAAGGGAACAGATACCGTATTTCTCCGATTAAGCACCCAGGCCCTTATTTATAAACTCGGCTAAAAGGAGGCGCGTTTATTGGAAGGAGACTGCTCAATCTTGCTTGGCGCTAATTGAGTCAGCGCAACAGTGGGACGAAAATTAAAAGAACAGATAACGTACATAAAGGAACTCTTAACACATGGACATAAGTAAACTGGAACAGAAAAGAAACTTTTCTCCTGTGCTGGTTCGGCTCTAGTTGAAGCTTAGAAAGCTGTAAATAAAGTGGATATAGAAACAGTTATTTATTCATATCTTCACTATCTAAGAAAGTGAGGGAGGAGGAGGTGCGTATTCGAGAGGGGAGGGGGGGAGGCACTTTCTTGACATTAGGGACCCTAACAAGTCAGGACAGCAACGCCTAGGAAGAATGAGTTTATGTTTCTAGCTAGAATTCCGAAAATGGCTGCAGGTGTTTACCGTCTCTTACGTCGTCACACGTAAACTTGCGCATAACGCATATAAGCAGCGTTGAGTTCCAAGTTGAAATGACTTGCCGTTCGCAGACGAAGTAAATTTTGGCGATTTGCAGAGGACGGCAAAGAAATGTGCAAAGTTCTAAACGCATGTGCTGGCTATTGTTCTGTCCATAAGATCTTTTATTTTTCTACGTCCTCGTTGCCGTCGCCGTCGTGGTTTGCGTAAGTATAGGTAATCGCATGGGGCCGAGTAAAATTAAGGATTCATATCACGCGTGTTTTCGGAAGCTGCTGAAATTGCCCGAGTCGCGCAGCAACGAGGGCAATTTCTGCAACTTCCGAAAGCACAAATGATATTAATCCTTAATGTTACGAGGAACCATGTGATTACTTGTTTATAATATAAGGGGCAAATGTTTTCTTACTGATCTCGCGCGAAACAGGACGCCATTGTTACCTTGGCAGCCGTTGCTAAGCGATTTTCAGCCGATCATTTTCACGTAATTTTGCCCGGGGGCAATTACAAAAATTAAGAAAAAATGCCCTCTGTCTTGACCAATCACAATTCAGTAATTTTGCCCCTTATATGATAAGGTATATTATTACCACGGGGGCGGGCGCTTTTGGGGGAGGGGCGCTTATTTAACGAAATACGGAATGCAAAATATGACAAAAAGGACGAGGCTATATTTCCACGACATTTATTTCTATCTTTAATACTCGGTGCTTACAATTTACAGTATTATACATGTTAAGAGCAGTATTCAATACAGAAGGAACACTTNCCTCCTCCCTCTGGCTCACGTCTACACAGCGAAATATTAACCTCACTAGTAGCTTTCACAGGGTGGTAAAAAAAAGTTGGCTTCGGTCAGTCTCTGTGTGTATGTAGGGATGGAAAATTGATTCACGTTTCTCCTACGTTAATTAGACGGACGGTTACACGTCAGAGCCATTCAACGCGTAAGAAAATAAATAACACTCGAGCGTCAGTAAAAAATGTCAATCCTTTTCATCAAATTACCGGTAATCTAATTTGGGAACCAATGAATCGGTCGCATTTAATTAAGACAGGGAGATTAAAGGAAGCAATAGCAAGGAAATTAGCCGGAATTTATTTCTATGCAGTGGTGCAAATCTGACGGCTACCGGCTAACATACGCAATGCAAACGGCAAATTAAATATGGGCTTGACACATGACATTCAAGAGGCGTGGATATGAACGACTGCCATTTCAACGAGGAAAAAGAAATTTAATTGAAACAAGTAGCTTAGATTTCATTTTTAATTGTGGCCCTTATTACCGGGGGAGATAAAGCGGCGAAGTTTCAAGTTACAAACTCGGCTCATTGTGAGATTTAAACGCGTTCAGTGGCGTGAAGTTACTTTAATAGTGACAAAAGCCATCATTTGCGCGTAAATCAGATTGAATAAAGATTTTTGCATTTTGATCAGCATGCAAGAACATTCTTGGGCACTCATACGTCATTCGTCAAACAAGGAGAAAAATAGATAGATAGTTTATTACCATAAAAATGAAAAAACTTTGCAGACATAGGCTGAATTGTGCACTTTTCACAATTATTTATAAATCCATATTGAGACTATATAAAACTTCAAAATTTGCAAAAAAATCCTAAGACCTTAAATAATTATACAATCATACAGCAATGGAATAAAACGAAGTCGATGCTAAGACCCCAGATTAGCCCTCGCGCACGTAGCCGGAATGAATGAAGACTTAAAATATGCTTTCATTCGCGCTAACATCTGAGTCATTAACACCATCTTGAAAGTCAAGAGAGATAATACAAAAGCATTGAAGTGCGTAGAGCATTTAGTAACATTTTATCACACAAAAGATGTTTAAGCTAGCAATGAACAAATATCTATTCAAAACTACTGCTTACATATTCTGGAGGCGGCTTTCGACAATAGATACGGAAATGCAGTCAGGTGTAGAACATAGTGATCTCGCGCGAAACAGGACGCCATTGTTACCTTGGCAGCCGTTGTTAAGCGATTTTCCGCCGATCATTTTCACGTAATTTTTCCCGCGGCAATTACAAAAATTAAGAAAAAATGCCCTCTGTCTTGACCAATCACAATTCAGTAATTTTGCCCCTTATATGATAAGGTATATTATTACCACGGGGGCGGGCGCTTTTGGGGGAGGGGCGCTTATTTAACGAAATACGGAATGCAAAATATGACAAAAAGGACGAGGCTATATTTCCACGACATTTATTTCTATCTTTAATACTCGGTGCTTACAATTTACAGTATTATACATGTTAAGAGCAGTATTCAATACAGAAGGAACACTTTCCCTTTTACTTGATTCCAATTACAACTGATACGATGCAAATAAAACTTCCTAAGGTCATAAAAAGTTAAAATTTTTACGATTATTAAGTGTACATTTTATATTCCCCAATCTTAAATATTTCCAAGCAATTTATTACTTAGAAAGAAATGGAAAAACTAAAGTTCCCTTCATCTAATTGTTAATCCCCTTTTCAGTTTTAGAATGGTCCCCGATCTAAGCTCGAAATAAAAACGGGGAGATTGTAGATTATTGGATAAACTTTTCAGTGCAATTTCACTAACAAATAAAAATATATAGATTTGACTGCATTCGTTGTTGAATATAATTTCCATGTTCTATTAGCCAAATAGCTTTTTCACATAAAAAGGAAATTTACTCCTCTAATCACTTATTTACGTCACACGTTTTTCGTTTTGTTGTCTGTGGCGTGACAAGTGTCACGCAAGAGCGACAAATATTTAACAATCATATTCTATTTATATCAGCTCCAGAGTGGCCTAGTCGAAAAAATTGCAAGCCTTGAGACAAATTCACTTTACTAAGAATCTAAAGTAGAAATAACGAACGAAAGAGAAGACTCATAGGCTGCGCTAAAGGACTATATACCAACTATGGTGAATTTTTATAGCCTGGGAGCAGGCTATGAAATGCGCATACGCATCAAAGCATTGCAGGACGCGCGTTTCTTTGCTCGCGGGAACAGATTGGAGACAAGAGGTATGCTGAGGGACTGGCACTCATAATGAGCCACAATATCAATACCAGACCCATTGCAAACCTCTCGTTGCTTAAGGCCTCACACTTTCCCGCTAGCGAAGAAACACTCATGCCGAGGCCCCAATGACGAGAACCTGCTTCTGTTTACGATGTTCCATACGCGGAACTTTCACGTCGTATTTCAGAAACTTTTGCTTCATCGGGAACAGCTAAGTCTAGTTGAATATCTACAACTCACAAAAGTAGCTTTGTCAAGATCTTCTGATCACAATTAACGATTACAAACTTGACAACAAAGCAAGCACAAAATACTAATCTGTTTAGAAGTTAAATAGAAAAATCGATAACACAAACCAAAAAGGTTTGACACGGACTCGAATTGACGAACACGGAAAGTTTACCATGTAGCGTGAAAATCTCGCAGGAGTTTCGGTTGGCGGAACGACTTGGTTCTGATTCAAAATTAATGAAATTTCTGCCGGTACTTTTCTTAAGGTTTTCTTTTCAAGCTGCAGAATATCAAAGCAAAAGAGGAGCGAGCTGCAAAGTGGATGATTCGTAGATAAAGATTTCGAGTGACACTCGAACACGAAGTGAAACTTAATTCGCAGGCGGATATTTTCAATGACTAAAGGTAGTAAATTCTTTCCAGCGTCTTATTTTTTAAGGATTTTTTTTTCTAGAACTATTTTAAGCGGATCAAGGATAACTCCGGAAGGATGAAAAACACAGCCAAATTTTCAGCAACACAGTTGGTAATGATTTCGCACACAAGGCGAAATGGTTCCTTTAGAGTCTTAGAGTTAGTGCTGTGTACCAAAGTAAGGATTTACAAACGAGAATCCTCGGAATTGTCCCTGGTCCATTGACTGCAGCAAATCTTTGTCTGTTGGAGTGAAGCGTGGTGCTTCCATAGTGAAATCGGGATCAAAATTATTCGTATCGTGGTCTGAACCCTGTTGGGGTAAAACAGGGACC